ATGAAGTCATCCTAGCACTGAGCTAGAAACAAAGCAGCAGTTGTTTCAAAATTTCTTCCACAGAGTACTATAAAATGATGTTCAAATCAATAACAGTGAGTGAAACAGTAAAGTTTAATCTTTTTTTTTTCTGTTGAATTGTAAAAGAAGAATTAGAAAAGGGCTGGAAATGTTTATTTGGGAATCTTTTGCTGCTGACCAGCAGCCCTTATAAATGATGCAAATTGCCCCATCAGCCCATCTTGCACTCTGTCAGTGAACCTTTTCTCTCCTCTGTTCCTTTTCCTTCCTCTCCTTCTTCTGTTCCTCTACTGTGTCATCATCAACAGTAAGACACCTGCAGTTTAAGATTATATGTAACTTTAATCTGTCATTTTCTTTAAAAATTCTGTGCAGTCACTTGTCATCTAGATCCAGTAAACTTATCTTTGAAAAAATTATTCTTTGAAAAAATTCTCTTAACACAGAAGGTGAACATGCACTTTTTGCTGAAAACACCTCAGAAGCTTACAGACTCCCAGGAATACTTGTCTGCATACTCCTCTCTGGGAAAAAAAAAATTGGTTTCGGATCAAACAAAAGCTTGAAAATACTTACCTCCTAAAATATTAATCAACAAGATAACAGGAGAGGTACCACCATACAAGCTGCTTAGAGTTTCTAGCCTAGTCAAAAGAAAAAGAGATTAAGGTGCTGAGAGAATTGAATTCAATGGTATTCTGAAATAACATTAAGCTGAATTCTACAAACTTTTTTAATGATCAGCCTAGCTTGGCTTTTTCTAAATACCCTCCACTAACTCAAGTAATAACTAAGAATGTAGGATTAAGTAAGTCTTTAGTCAAAGTCAACATTGCTCTGCCTTTTGCCTCCAGAGACATATTTACTTTTGCTGTTAATGAATAGCTTTTTGTTATTTCTATTTAAATATTATGTATTGCCTACTTCTTCCAATTTTTATTTGCTCCTTGGAGCATCTTCAATTTAACACTCAGACTGGTACCTACATCTTCAGTACATCAGAGTTTTCCAAAAAAAACCACTGTCATCATTGAATAACGCTTAATCAATAAAACCCCATTTCCTAAACAAAAAAGTTATACCTGAAGCCCCTTCCAAACAGTCATGGTTGATTTTAAAACCTTGCTTACCATACAATTCATGTCCTGCATGCATAGAAGGAGTCCTGTCTGTCGTTCTGTCATTTAAGAGCAATAGGCACACGCCAGATTGACAACTGAATTATTCTTTCTAACCCTCTAAGTTCAGGAATCCCTTTGGAGAGAGCATGAGCAATAAAGGGTTTCCCCGGAGGATTAATTTTTTTTTTATTTTACCTTTTTTGAATGAATTATCTCTGCAGTGTTTTTTATGCTCTGGAGTTCTATTTATTCATCCTAACCACTTTTGGGCTGTATTGTGTTTGTGTGCAAATGGTACTCTCACTTCCCATCTCTCAACAGCATATGCAAATGCTTATGTTTGCAATGGCCCTTGCACAAATAGTGCCTGAATTACATTCTGCCTCTGTTTCCTTTCTGTGCTTACTATCTTTCTGAAGGAGTAAGAGTAATCTGGGGCCTTCAGTTGCTAACTTTCATTATAGCAAACTGGAATTTTCCGTCCTCAAATCATACCAGAAGAAGAACTCATATACAGCATGATATTGAAGAGGTGCTTGTTTGCACCTGAAATTTTGTCTATGACTCTAATCTGACTGGTTTTCCAGTTACATTAGAATCATAGAAGCAGAAAATATTTGGATTGGAGAAGCCCTCTAAGGTCATTGAGTACAACCATTAACCCAGCACTGCCAAGACCACCGCTAAATCGTGTCCCTGAGCAGCACATCTACATTTCTTCCAAATACCTGCAGGGGTGGTGACTCCACAACTTCCCTGGGCAGCCCAGCTGGCCTGATGAATGTTGTAGGGTTTTACTGTTACCACAGTTCCCCCAAAAGAGGCTTGTTTCAAAGAAGAAAAGTATTGCATTTATAAACTCATGCAAACCTTATCAATTGTTCTCTGAGTAAAATTAAACATGACATGGCTTTTCTATCTTCTATATCATCTGGGAAATGGAGCCCCAAGCAGAAGATTTGAGTCTGGAAGAGATCACTCAGTCTCACAGGTCCCTATCCCTGGGGTCCCAGTATAGTGGCTCAGCTGTTTCCACAGCTACCAGGTGGCAGTGCCTCTCACAGCCCCTCTGCTCTGGGAAAACACACCTGGTTTTGGGATCTATGCACCCTCTGGGTACAGACCCTTGAGAGCACTTCTCCCTAGGTCACCCAGGGCTGATGCTGCAATTATTGGTCTGCACTCTTCTTTATTCACTTTTGGAAAGAGAAGAAGTGCTACTGAAACTCAAGCACTGCAAGTCTTTGGTCTTTATTTGTCTACAGTTAAACAGTGGACAGAGTTTACAACAGTGACTCAAATGGAAAAGGAACTTTGGCTTCAGTGCTCCTTCTGGTCATGCCACAACTGAGCTGGACAAAAGCACAAGCATGATTTAACCCTGACCAAACTGTAACTTCCACAAAAGCTACTGACATCAAGCTTTGCTTTAGTGCACACCTGGCAAAATAAAGAATACCTTCTCCTCATTTTTTTTAAGAGTAAATTACTTCTCTTTTTGCTATGCAATATGGATATTTTAGCTTGTGATGTTACTGACAGTTGTCACTGCTGTGAGCATAGCTGAGAGGCTTTGGGGGGCAAGGGTGGTGGGTAATTTCCCAATTTCATGAACTATTTAATCTGGCAGCCAATTCAGTATTTCTAGAAAGCCCATAGCCTGGTTTTTAGATTTGGAAAAGTGGATACAAATGCCAGATACATTACACAAGGCTGTATATCACCTAAATTGTGAACCAAGTGTCATATGTACAGATTCTGCCAGCTGTTGGCTTGTTATCACTATTCACTATGCATTTGGTCTGAACAAGGCAGTCTCATTATTTCATGTTTACAAGCCTCTTTTGTAGCAGGTTGAAGTCAAGGACGTTAAAATTAAAAATATAGTATCTTACTTTGCTTTGGACATAGTGAAGATTGCTTTAAAGAGAAGCTCATTCTGCATGTGTAAAAATGCAGATTGAATATGGTTTTACCTTGTACCTACCCAAGTTTTAATACTGCTTGTATATTTTAAAACACAGAAGATGTAGAAGTGCAGGCCTTATGTAAAATTCATCACAAATCTTCAAAACAGGTTGGATATGACCAGTGACAAATGATGTTCCATAAAGCATTGCATGACTATTTTTAACATACCTCTCATACATAATTTCTCCTGCACTGACTGCCCAAAATTAAGAACATGTTGAAATACAAACCATTATAAATGACAGATCTTCATATCTCCACTTAATCTTTGCAGGATCCCTACTCACTTGACTTCATATGAGAAGTAAATAAAAACAAGTGACGTGGACAACTGGAGCCATCCCAGCAGCTTAGCTCCAGCCATCTATTTGTATTAATCACTACTGCATATTCCTGGTGAGTGGATGCTAATTCAAAAGATCCCAAGCATTCCACTTGTGTCACTGTCTTCATCTTTACTTTCCCTCACTGGGCAGTAATTTCCCCTTAGTTGAAATCCCAAAGGTTGTGTGCTCCCAACCAATATCAGCAGTCATGGATTCTAAACCTCAGATGTAGTATTCTCAAAATGCCTTTTCTTTATTTTTGTCTTTTAAGCCAAAACTTTATTTCTCCATCACTTTCATAAAAGAACAACTTTCTTTTACCTCCTACCTCTCTAAAGTTGTTTACTTCAACACCCTCCTCATTTTTCATTCTCTACTTCCACTTTTGTCCTTCACTGTAGGATAGATGATAAACGGCCCATGCATCAGCATGCAATGGCTTTCATTCCCAGTCTTGCCCACTCACTTTCTGCATCACAGGATTATCTGGGGCCTGAGGAAAAGCTAGGATCCATCTCCCCCAGGCCATATTAAAGGCAGGCACACAAGAATCCATGTGCAGGCATCATGCTGCAGTGCTGGCCCCAGCCCGTTATGAATGGGACCAAGGAAGAGTCAAAGTAGAACACATAGCAATGAAAAGAGTAACTACTTCTCCCAGAAAAGCTTCCTGACTTCAGGTTACATCTCTCCACAATGCACTGGGTGACTTCGCTGCAGTTTTGGCTATGTAGGAGGGGTAGAGAAGTTCTGTCCCCTGTGCCTTTGCCAGTCATGTTGCCAGCATATTTACCCTTCCATAAAATGGAATGGTACCCCACTGGATGCTGTGAGCCTTAGGCAAATAAGACACTTCTGAGATCCTCAAAAGGAAAGGTAAAGGATTCTGAAGGTGAATTCTTCATAAAAAAAAATTCTTTATTGAAAGTGTTAAAAAACATGGGAATGAACTGCCCGGGGAAGCGGCATAGAACGTAGTGTTCAGTCAAAGGTTGGACTCGATGATTTTGGTACTCTTTTGCAGCCTTAATGATTCCATTATTCTAACTTGGTGTTAGCTGTGTTTTCATTTCATACTCTGGACCTGCATTTTCTTCCAGAATCAGTCACTGTCATCCTGCGTGTAGATACTTGGAAGTGCCTCTCCAACCATCCTATTTGCATTAAAGGGTAGATTAGAAAACATTGCCTCTTGCAAGCCCAAGCACTCGGCGCGAACTCCCACGCCCCCCTTCCCCCCAAAATGACTCGGTGGATTCCAGCCTCCTCCCTGTGTAACAGGGGGTACACACAGGGACAGGCAGGATGCTCACAGTCACCGACTCTCATTCGCACCAGGAGCCAAGGATGACACAAAGCACAGCTGCCCCTCACTCACGGGGGAACTCCAGGGGCCGGGGAGCGGGGAGCGAGCCCGGCGGGTCTCGGCAGGGAGGCACAGGGGCAGCGCTCCGCTCCGGGCCGTTCTCCCGCCCCCCCTTCCGGCTCCCCGGGCTCCCCGGGCCCCGCCGCCCCCAGGCTGCTCCGCCACTCGCTCCCGTCCCCGGGAAGTCCCGCCCCGCTCGGGGCGGTCGCGGCTCGCTGCCCGCCGGGGCGCTGCGGGGTGCGGTGCTGCCGGCGGAGGGCTCGGGCCGCGGGGTGAGCGAGCGGGTTGTGGGGAACGCCAGCGGAGCCTCTCCGCCACCTCCGGCGGCCCACAGCCGTGCCGGGCTCGCCCCTGATGCCCTCGGCCCGACAAGGCGCCCGGGCCGGGAAACTTCGCCCGAGTTGAGGGGCGAGAGCGGCTTTCGGTCGCTCCGCTGCCGGCCCGGCAAGGCCCGAGACGGGAGAGCGGGAGGCGGCCGGCGGTGCTCGGGGCTGGGGCGGGCGGGGAGCGCAGGGCTGTGCCGGGCTCGGCCGCGGGTCAGGGCCCGGCACGGCCGGTGCAGCCCCGGCCGGGGGGCGGCTGCGGGACCGGGGCAGAGGTGGCCGGGACGGCGGCGCTTGGTCAGGCAGGGCTCCCCGTGTGGAGTGTGAGGGGACGAGCAGCTCCTCCCTGCAGAAGCGTTTTACAGCACCAGATGATAGTTACCAACAGAGTGAGCCCCGAGCTTAGGCGGCTTCGCTGTGTGAGTGTAGCTACGCTGCTATTATTAGTGCTGGTATTTAATATTTGTACAGCCATAACAAGTTAAATATTGGAACTACGTCCTCTCTAGTACTCCTCTCCCGACAGTTCCCGAGGGTGTCTCTGTGAAGGAACAAATGCCTCAATCCAAAATGGGGACCTTCCGAGTCTGCCTTCAGCTGCCTCTCCATCTGGAAGTGCCAGCAGCGCTGTGCGAGATGCTTCCAGAGCTGCTGAAGCTTGTCAGGGCTCAGCAGCAAAGCTCCAGACTTGCCTGTGTGCCCTGTTGGGACACGACACTCCACCATGCATGAGGCTCGCTGCCCGTTCCAAGACACGGTTGCAGCAGGTTCCTGCTCCCCTGGCAGCGGCTGGGCAGCTGCGGAAGGCGGCTCAGTCGGGGCAAGGGAGTTCAGCCTCCCCCTGCCAAGTGCTGAAGCACGGTGGCAAAGCCTCTGCTGGGCAGTGGCCTTGGGTTTTGGCATCCCCTCTGCATTGGGTCTGGTGTTGTGGTTAGTTTGGTTGTAAGTTGAAGCATACAGGTCCTGTTGGTGAGGAACTCTGAGGGAGTTTATACATGATCTCTAAGATAACTGTAAGCATAATTCTTTTCTTTCAGGTGTCTGTTGTTAAGGTTGGTATTCTCTGTATGCTAGAGGCTTGTGGCAGTTCTTGAATGAAACAAGTTTTTACCTGGAGGTCATTTACTTCTGGGAAATTTTGTTTTTCTTGTCTGGAATTCCCTTCTGCTTTACACTGGATACATTATTCAACATCCTCTGTCATAATATGTTCTGCAATGTTTAAAGGTTGTTGCCTTCTTTCTGCTGGGGGCTGTGTTTCAGTGGTGGGTGAAGCAATGCTTCTAATAAGTAGTTTTGCATCATTTTGTCAGGTACTCAGGGATTGTTTTATGAAAGACTACATAAGTGTCATTTATTATTATGAATGCCCCTTATGTTTTGGAATTTAACAGATATAATATTTGCCATCCTGTCACCATCATCACATTAATTTTCATAGTTATAATCAAAGGTGGCAACAATGGCATTCAAATGCTTAATTATATTTCATGTAGGTGACCAGTGCTAACTGGCTGAATTAGTGCATGGTGCAGCAGGAACAAGTGTCACAGCTTCCCTCTGTGGTTAGGAGCCATCAGCTTGCTTCTCACACATAAAAATCAGTATATAGTGAAGCATATGGCACCAGTGAGTTCTGTGTTTATTAAAGGACTATGCCTCTGAACATTCTGTGAATTTTTTCCTTATTTCACTTGATGTGGATCTAAAATGTTTTTCCTGTCTTTCAGGACTTGAAATACTGAACAAATTCATTTTTTGTCAGATGAAACCAAGACTTCTTAAGGTTCATGAAAACAGTGAGGCTTCTGCTTGAATCAGACTGGCCACCTGTCTGGTATGAGATCCATCTAGACTGTGGAAGCCTAAGGTACAAGTCTCTGGTTTGATTCAGAACAGTTTTGAACTCTTTTACATTTTCTGCATTTCTGGAAAATTGGATTGCCAGCTGTATTGGAGGGGAAGGGGAATATCCCATCCCTCTAGTTCTAAGAAGAAATTACATCCTCTCAACACTGTAGCGTAGCTTTTCTGCTTCAATGTCATTTTTCCGGTCACAAATTAAAAAGCTTCCACAGAATTTTCTAAGCAGCGGTCATGTCTTTGGTCTGACAGTACTGTGTAGGTTGGTAATAATCCAAGAAAAGCATTTTATCCTAACAATAGCTGGGATATGTTTCACAAGTGCTTAACTACTTAGATAAAAAGGAAGCAAGAAGAAAGACCACCACCATCATCTTTTAGATGGCAGCTTTAAGTAAATCACATTTTTTTACTTGGATCTCAGAAATGTGGAATCGCTCTTCTCAAAGATACTCTGAAACCCCACTGTTGTGTAGCCACAGCCACAGGGTTTTTCTTGAAGTAATTCTGTGGAGGAGGTAGGATCAAAGAATGGTGTGTTACCTGCTGAACTGCTCCCTTTTTCTGCTCTTTTGGGATCTCATCTCTTTCCTCAAAATGTAAAAGTAGAATTGTTTTATCCCACAGTTGTCTTTGCCTTATCCACAGTGAGGGTGAGGGATCAGGTGAAAGGAGTGTGCCTCTTTTTTTGCTGTGATTTGTGTACCTTTTGGCACATGGGTCATTTTCAGATGGGTCTGGAAATCTTCAACTGGTTTTTAATGCTTGAACTCTGGTGTTCTGTAAGCTTTATTGCAGGACTTTGTTCTTTGTTGTTCACTTTAGACTGGGTAGCCAGGATTTTTTGACAAGCAGATAATAGTTTCCAGGACAAAAATACTGAGTTTGTATTTTCTTTCAGAAATTCTGTGATACAAAAAGGCAAAACAGTGGCAGGGTTCTGTATCCAGTTCTGGTTAAGACTGAAGATTCAGCAATACCTGGAAAAGAAATAGAAGGATATGTAGGAGACCTGACAATTTTGTCAGCTTCTGTGTGTTGGTTGTTCTGAGCATTCCACTGTGGTACCAAGATGGGGGTAAGAACTTAAAAGCAGGAGTAGTATAAGCAAGTGGTCATTGAGTCTGACCACTGACAAAGCATGCAGACTGTAAAGATTCTGAGGTAAAAGATACTACTTGAGCTACACCCATCAGCTTTGAGCTTTCCCTTGACTCACATTAACTTTTCTTGTGTGGGCTGGTTTCTTTAGAGAGGACCTTGAGAAGGACATACTGCTTCCATTTCCTGACACAGTCACAGAGAGCAGTCACAGTCAAAGGCTTTTCTCAGGGTATTTTTTCCCATTAGGTCTTGAAATTGGTTGCAAATTTTGTGATACAGTTCTTTGGAGTAGAGGGACATTGGATTTATTTCTTTGCATCTAAGCTCATCACTCCCTAGTAAAGAAGGTGGTTTTCTGGAAGCCCTTGCTTTTTCCAGTTGCTGCAGTCTGTGATATTGAATGAGACTCTAAACCAAATCACCATGCTCTTTTCCAGCATGCATGGCTTTGCAGATCTTAGTGGATCTGTGGTCTGTGGCAAAGCTGACATTGAGATTCATTCATCTGAATTTTTCTAGATGTAATGTTCAGTCTTGATCAAGAGGTAGTAATTCATATCAGTCATCCATTGCTTAGACTTGTGTGGTGCATTTCTGCATTTAAAGATCATGGAGGGGTTTGGTGTGGCTCTCTAGGCCTGCACAAGTGAGTCATAATGCTCCACCCAGCATGCTTGCTGAAATGTTTGAGCTCATGTGAAAATATGTGTATGTGGCCTCAAGTAGAGAGAAAACCAATGAAAGTCAATGAGAATAACAACAAAGAGTGGAGTTAAGATGTATGCTTGTTTCAGATTTGAGATTTAGAGGGAATGAAGGCTGGATATGCATTCCTGAAAAGGAGACTTTTTTCCCTACTTCTTGTTGTCCTCAAAAGAAAGAGAAAGTGCTTGTACCCCAGAACCCTCGAGAAGCAAATGTGAGTCTGTTAAGTCTTAAGAATATGAATGTATGTATCAACATGCAAGACTTAGTCCCTATTTGCATATAGCATAATGTGACTTCAGTTCTGATTTTTGGCCTAAAAACACTATGTGTGCATGTAAAATATAATTAATGTAATGTTTGACCCTGGAGGAGAATTTTTATCTGACCTTTTATCAGGAGTAATTTTGGAAGCTGCCCAAAATGTAAAATCCCCTGAAGTTCTTCTAAAGAGATGTTAATGAAAAAACACTTAGGGGTATGCTGGTCTCAGATCTCTCTGAGGAAGAGAAACTTCAATGTGACTTTGCTCAGAGAAGCCTAGATTTTGAGACTGTTATCTGCACAGAAATAAGGTAAAAGGGAAGTCTGACTATTCTGGTCACAACAGCTAAGCATTAACCAAACTGGAAAAGAATTGTGCAAAGTTCTATATTTGAGGTGACTTGGACTCTGCTTCTTGGGGCAAAGCACGTGTGCTTGCTTTGATCCCCGGGGTTTGTCCCCCCGCTGTGCTTGTCCTGCTGTGGCACTTCAGCTGGAAGGAAGCATCAGATTTAGATGTGCCTGGCGTAGAGCCTGGCTGCAGCCAAAGCATGACCCTCAAACCATGCAAAGCTGCAAGGTCTGTCTGCCACGAGCTGAGCTACAGAGGGAAGATGCTGTAAGAGTTCTCTCTTTCAGGTGAACATTTAAAAGCTTGCTTCTCGCTTACCCAGCTCCTTATCTGAGTGTGCTTTCTGGAGGTTCTGAGGGCAGGGTGGCAATATATTGGCCTTTCCCATGTGTGTAATAATGTTTACATTTCTCTTAAAATTTAAGTGACTGCTTTAGACTGTAGAACATAGTGCTGCTCAAGCAGTGTAGCTGCTGTGGAGTGTGTGTACCTGCATGTTTTAGTGGGACTTCTCTTTATCACAGTTGGATTATATAAGGCTTGTCTAAAGCTCTCCTAATTCTTTTTCATAGCACATACTGTAACCTTATATAAGGTCTTACTTTTAGTATTCTTTCTCACTTCTGTATGTAAAGGTTTTTTGGTTGCTCAAACCATATATAGAAAATATAGTGAAAAGGAATATTTAGCATTTCTTTTGGCTTGACTTCATAAGGAAATATGTTTTTGAATGGTCTGGGGACCAGAGGTAGGTCACTGAAGGTTACAACATTAACTCACTAATCTGAGTATTTCCAGAATAACATGTTTCATGAAAAAATGTGGCAAGGTGGAGTAGATGATGCTTTTTAAATAATTCTCCCAAGAATTCTCTAGGCTTTGAGTATCTTGGCTAATTTCTACCCAATCAAGAGCTTACACATCCAAAATGGTGAGGTTTGTGTGCATGCTGCATGAAGATACAGCCACCCAAAGGTGGGAAATGAAGGGTGGCCCACAAAGGGAGGAGCTGCAGCATATACTCCTGTGGGGTTAGGCAGGAGTTTGTGTGGGAGAGAGGCACCACAGGTGTTCCCCTCCTGTTTCATAGGAGCTTTGTTCAAGGCATGAAAAGTCTCTGGTGTGACATCATTCCTTAGGACACAAAGCCTTGAGTTAGCTTGAAGTTCAGCAAACCATGGTGCTCTCAAATCTCCATTTTGGGAGAGGAAAAGGCCAATGCCATTCTGACCAATTCCCTGAAAACAGGGAAGAACATTTATGACTTTTAATGAAAATGTCATTTTCAGAGCAGCACATCTGCCATTTCTACAGAAGAGGCCCAGGTTGTTGTTATCTCATGTAACATGGACTAGTGATGATGTGAGAGAGCCTGTGTAGGATTACAGTGTCATAGGTCTTGGACTCCTTTGCACTGACTAGTGCAGGGGGTATTGCTGGACTAAATGACAGGTGACTCTGCATCTGTCCTGGAGCAAATGTCCTGAAGTCTGCCTCTGTCCTGTCCTCCTGCTGCACTCAGCCACCCAGCCGTGGCAGGCCCAGGTGCACAGCCCTTGGAGCTGTGCTTTCCTGACAGCATGCATGAGCAAAAAAGCCATGCTTACTGAAATCCATGTCTGAGGGAGTGCTGGGTGTCAGGTGTGTTTGCGCTGTAATTAGCACTCATGAATATATTTTTGAAGAAGGTGGAATAGATCTGGAGAGGTTAGAAAGCTTGCTTGTCTGGTGGGGAAGAGGAAGAACTGTGTGGGCAGTATTGAATTCCTTCCTTTCTGTAAATCTCTACAATGTTGGCAGAAACATGAGGGAAGAGAAGAATCAGGTTTTTTATATTCTTCTTGACATAGTCTACACGTGTTCTCTTTGTTCTCTTACACTCTGCCTCTCTTCTTCCTTTGTCTTGCTAACTTCTTCCCTTGTCACAAAATTTTTACATGTGGGGAACAGTAAGATAACACAGTATAGACTAACTAATAGAAATTTCCTGCAGATGTGTCACGTATTTCTAATTAGTGGCTTTTCCATGTTCTGTAGGGGTTGCTCAAACTAGAATTGAATACTCAAAACATTTCCTCCATCTATAAATATATAGTGAGCTTGTGCTGTATCACATTTCCCTGGGCTCTGTGGTTATAAAGGAAAGATCCACTTAAAATGCTCTTGATGCACCCAGGGCAGCCCTTGTTTCTAAATGGCAGCTGTGTTTAACTTTTTCTGGGTACAGTTAATACCCATTGAGACTTTTTTTTTTCTTTTCTTTGATAAATTTTATGTCACAGCAATCTGGATTTAATGTTGCTCTAATCTCACATTGTAATGTAACGACAATGAAATGATTCTCACGCCGGTCTACAGAGAATCTGTGCTAATGCCATTAAAATGTGCTTACCGAATCAAAACAAATGCAGAATTAGCATATGGAAACTGTGTGTATGTGATTATAATGTTTCAGCAATATGAGATTACTGTAGGAAGCAACTAATCCAAACCTAGGGGGACTTCCCATTACAAGGCCATTAAAATGACACAATGACTGAAGCGCACGTTTCAGATGGGAAAAGCGGAAACATAAATCTTGTCATCAGTATTCAGGCAAAACATCTATTGAATTCAGTGGAGTTTTTACCAGAGTCAGGAATGCAACACCGTGACCTTTTTAGTAGCAAGTCTCTTTTCTCTTAACAATACCTGTAGGAAAAATATTTACTTCACCAGCATTTGATAGTTGGCTAATGGTGAGAGTTGTATTTTATGCACCATACAGTTGGCGGTTATAAAGATCTATCCAAAGTTTATTACAAAAATGATAAGGTAGTGTTTCACGGCTTTTGTGAAATAATACAAATTTTGATTACATCTTAAAGCAGTTTTCTCATTTTTTTAGTCTGAATTTGTAATTTCCAGGAAATATAATTTATCTCTCTTTATACAACACTCAGAGCTGAGAAGTCTTGGTCTGTGCAGGAGCTCCTTGGCAATACCGCCACATAAATAAGTGATTTTCGAAACCAAAATAGCTGTTATTGCCAAATATGAGCCTACCTGTTTATCTTCTGTGATAGAAATCAGCATGTTTTCCCATCCCCTCAGACTGGGTTAAGATTAAGGAAATATAATTCACATATCCTGTGTAAAGCCATCTGAAATATATTTGTCTTGTTCTGGATTGTTTCTTGGCTTGCTCCTTAGTCCATGGAAGGAGGATGACATTAGAGAAAGTGACTTCTGTCCTATTATAGGCATTCAAAATAAGCTGGATGAATTGCCTATAGATATGTCCTTCCATCTCCAGATGGTTGTTCTGTAGTAGACATACATCATTTAAATGGCTAAATGAGGTGATATGAATGCAGTCCTTGGTGTATGAAAGAAAGTTCTGTGTAAAACATGGCATGCAAATCATGAGTAACTCACACAAACAGGGATTCCTGTAGTAACATATACTTCCTTAATCAAGTAGGAATCCTGATTCCATTTGAAAGCTATTTGCACCTAAAATCTGTTTTAAAAAGACATAATTCTGATTCCATCAAGTGAATCTTACTAGGAATAATGTATCATATGTATATAATAATATCATATCATATCATAATGTATCATAACCAGGGCAGGCTCTTTATGTGAATGACAGTATGGAAGATATCACAACAGTGGTTTCAAAAATAATTCCAGTCACAGGTTGTTGCCTGTCTTTATTTTTTCTTTAATTAGGAGTGGTGGGTTTCTAAAACTGTGTCAGTTAACAGGAACAGGCATTAATAATAATACATTTTTCATGAAGATAAAATTAGGCCTACTTTAAATGCTGTTTGTGTGAGTTTCCATTTTTTGTGATGCTTCTTATAAATATAAAAATACTTGGCCTCAGTCAAAAGGTTCAGTAAATTCTGTATGTGAGCTGTAATCTGAAATCTAGAGTTTAAAAATCAACAAGTTGGTGTCTGCTGCAAGAAAAACCTGGCATGGGAACTGGTAATTGATTTGTGTCAAGCTTTAGCAAAAGAAATTAAATACTTATGTATTTAGTTGTATATAGGTTTGGGTTGCTAACTTACTAAATGGATTGGAAAATTGTCAGTGAACATGGGGAAAGAGAAGTGTGAGCCTAATGTAGAGGGTAGTTATCACTCTTTGCTGTCAGGGTTTTAGTGAATGCCATAGTGTAGATATTTAACATTAAAAATAAGAGGGGGCAAAAAAATAAGGCAAAGGTAACGCTTAGAATTGTGTCAGTTGCTTTGCTGTGCATATAAGAATGACTGAGATCATTGAACTTTCTCCAAAATAGTGGGTTGCTCTATATAGAGCACCAGCCTTCTTCAAGGATGGAATTAATGACTGTTTAATTGAATTGCAGCTAGGAGCAGTTTCTGACTAAGACAGGTATTTTGCTTTTAATTATTTGTTCAAGAATAATATTTTCTGAAATCATGCACTTCTTAATCTGTTTGGAAGAAAAATAAATCATCCTATTAATCAGCCAGCAGTCTGTTCTATGAGAGTAATTTATTTTTCTACCTTCTCAAACAAGTTAACATGCTAGTCCAGGAACAAAATTCCTAAAAGAACAGGTCTTCTTAATCTGCATTTACACAAGGCAAGTAAACATAGTCAGTCAGTCATTTCTCTTTTTTATGGATGGCCAACTCTTCATATTACAATGAGCACCAGCACTGTAGACTTCACTGGGCAGGCAATAGCTGCCTTTTCCAGGGGCTGGGTCACTTTTGTGCATTGGTGCTCTGACAGTGACTGCTTCTCATGAGATCAAAGTATCCCCAAAGAGATCTTGATGTTCCTGTGCCCTTTGATATGTAGAGTTCAGTGCCCTTCAGATTTCAGTTTTTCTGTCATCCTGGTAGATTAACTTTAGCAGTTAAAAGGAAAATGTCCTCTGAGGGCTTTACCAGTAACAAACCCATGTTTATGACATTATTCACTAAAAGGGAGGCAGAAATGGGAAAGACCTCTCTCTTTAATCAATAATGCATGCTCTAGTTAGTCCTTTCCTCTGGACATGATTAAACATGTATTTTGTTTCATAACTCATGATTTTGGTTGACTGGGGATTTTAACTATATATCCTCAAGCCTTTGTGACTAGCATCTGGAAGATCTAACATGAACTAACAAAAACCCAAAATCCCAATGGGGAGAGCTGCAGTTAATTTTAACCTGCAGTGAGTTAGGCCAGATTGGCACAGGGACTTTGACATGACCCAACTGCAGACTGTAGTTTGTCAGTGTTTGTCACTGCTTGTTTGAAGTTTTGAGAAGTAACATTTTTCATTGATATTAAAGATTAATTTAAAAGTGTCTGAGATGCTGAGCCACATGTAAATTGTTAGATTAAGGTCTGTTCTTAACTGGCAAAATATTTGCCCACTGAAGCACTTTGGGTTCTCCACCGCTGTTTGTGGACTGTGTTGTATCTTTGGTGGCTGTTGTCAGCCGTAGAGGAGTGGTGCTGGGCTGTTCCAGACCTCCAGAGCACAGCTGGTAGGAGAACCTGAGTCCTGCTGAAGCCAGAGGAGCAGATTATCACCCCCACCCATGCATCATTCCACATAGACAGGGGCAGGCAAGGTGCCCAAACAGCGACTGCTTCCTTGGTATGTGAGAGGGATACTGAGTTTTGGAGGCCAGAGATAAATATACTGAACATACCAGTAAGGAATATTCAGCCTTAGTGCCAAGTGTGTTCATCTGGTGGCTGAAGCTGACAAAATTTGACAGCTGCTGAAGAGCAAAAAATCCTAAATGAACATACAGTGGTTTTATTAAATAGGAAACATTTATCTTAATGTGATACTGACTGCAGCACAATAAATTATGACAATTTCCATGTACTGGAATGTGGTGTGTTTATGTTGCTGGAGTACTGATCCAAGCACAGTTGGGTAAAATTAATGCCTTGTTTTTCATATTGGCCACCCTGCTACAAACAGCTTTTGGAAACATCCCAGCAAACACACACAGAGTGTAGGTACATGTGTTAGAGGGAGGAGGGATTTCAGAAATTGCCTGAGATAACACTGCTCTTTCTGAAATGTTTTTGTTTCCTTTCTTCTTTCCCAGACTCCTTTTGGATCTGATTTTTTTTCCCCTTTGTTAAAGAAAAATGCCTTCCTTGAGTGGAAAAGTGCAGACTGTCTTGGGCCCCGTGGAGCCAGACTGTCTTGGCTACACATTGACTCATGAACACTTGATTATGAACTACAGCAGCTGCTTCTGTCCACCTTCTCCAGGCCAAGAGCCTTTGTCTAATGGGCCCATTGAGATGAAGAACTTGTTTTGGATTAAGCAAAATCCCTACAGCCATAAAGAAAACCTTCTTTTGTATCAGGAGACAGATGCTGTGAGGGAGGAGTTGCTGCATTTTAAAGCAGCAGGTGGTGGGACGATTGTGGAAAACACAACTACAGGGATTGGCCGGGATATGAATGCTTTGAAGAAACTTGCTGAAGAAACTGGAGTTCATATTATTGCTGGTGCTGGGTTTTATGTGGATTCCACTCATTCTTCTCAAACACAGGCCATGACAGTGGAGCAGGTAAGTCTTAACCTTTGCTTCAGTGCCTCTGTCCTGTGAATTACCCCTGGGTAAGCCAAAGTTGGAGAGAAGTTCCAGTAAAATGATGGAATACAGAGGTGCTCAGCATAGAAAATGGGAACAGCATTACTGCTTGTGTGTAATACCTGGAGCAACACTACTTTAATGTCCTTGGTTTGTCTGTCAGAATTTCCAGTTCTTAAGCTCCATTTTCTCTGAGGGATTTGTTATAATGCAACAGTAAAAGGATAATATAGTAGTTCATGTGTGGACATTTGGTACACCACTATCTTGAGTTTTTACTATTTTTTAAGGAAGGAGTTTATCCTTGCTACCTCTTCTGTCACTTTTTCTGCCTAATTGCTTTCCATTGAATTTACCCAGCATTCTTTTAAAAAGCATAAATAATTGCAGTATTTATAAGATAATTGTAAATCACTGCTCTGCTCAGACTGTGTGTTATAGCTCTCTTCTCTATCATTTGTCCAGGCTTTTCAGGGCATAGTCTACATCAGCATGTTTGTACAGTGACTAAGACAATATGTTAATAATAGCTGAGGTCCCCAGATGTTCCTGTAATAATAAATATTCATCTTTTAATAAGAAAATCTGGTGATGAGGAGAAGAGGGAATGGAATTCTCCAAGGTAGGAGTCTGTGAATGTGTATGAATAGAGCTGACAATTTTTTTTAAATCTGTCACAGTTTACAAATGAGTCAAATTAATTTTAAAATCAATGATCAAAACTTGAGCAGTGCTGCCAACAAAACTGGACCCAAGCTGGCCCAAACGGTACTCAAGAGTACTGCTTTTCCTAAATGTTCTTCCATTGCTTGAAATACAAATAGATACAAATAGCATGGACACAAATAGATTTCTCAAGGCAAAGGTTTCCCTTCTGTGTTTGATGGACTGATGGAGACCCACAGATAACCTCTACTCAGTACTTAGAAGTTTTGCCATCATCAGTGCCATGTTGTGCTCTCAGTTCTGAATGTATGCTTAAGATCTATGGCCTATTCTGGGAAAGAAAAACTAAAGTTTTTATAACAAAGTAGTTTTATTAAGAGAATCTGATGGGTTTTGTCTATGAACACTCTAAAGCAGGCTAATTTTGATCCTCTAAATTTGTCAAATGAGCTTTTTTTTGTAGTTGTGAAGTCAGCAGATCTCCTGTTGTTTTACATTGGCATTCCCATAAGCATGTTTTGCCTTAAACTTGTCTCTTCAGGATGCTTGCCAGAGTTTCTCTCTTCCCTACATGTATGACAAGGTTTCCTTATTCTCTGATCTCTTGTTTTGCAAAAATTACATTGAATTGTGTCTAAAGCCAATTCAGGAGTGCAAGGCAAAGGTTTTGGAATAAACTAACCTTTTTTTTTTCCAAGAAAAATTAATATCTGACTAAATCAGAGGTCAAATTACATGTAGACCAGCTTTCTTGGCAAACCTTGACAAATATGGGACTGGATACTGTTAAATTGATTTGTTTCTGTGTTTATTTTGGTCTTAGTGAATGGCTAGCATAACATTAGTTGACAGAAACCAGATTTTAACTGCAGTGTTTTCACACTCCCAGCTGTTAATTAGATAAGTTCAGAAAGACCTTGGGAGCATAACTGGCCCAGCATCCATAAGCCAAATTTGATGCTATTTAATGCAAATAGTAATAATAGCCAACAATCTCATTTTCCTGTTCTCTAGCTGACAGAGATTATTGTTGATGAAGTACTCAAAGGAGCAGATGGGACTAATATCAAGTGTGGTGTGGTGGGAGAAATAGGTTGCTCCTGGCCTTTGACTCCCAGTGAACACAGAGTGCTTCAGGCCACAGCAGAGGCTCAGGCCCAGCTCGGGTGCCCTGTTATCATCCATCCTGGCAGGAACAGCGACTCCCCTTTCCACATCATCCGCATCTTGCAGGAGGCTGGGGCTGATGCTTCCAGGACAGTCATGTCTCACCTTGACAGGTAAGGAGAGTATTCTGCTGGGCTTCCTGGGGTACTGCCACACCCACTGGGGTTTTGCAGAACTACACTGGGAAAAGGTGACATAGAGTGTTACCCTCAAGTTAATTGACTCAAAAATAAATGCTTATATAGAGCTTAATCTGCCTCCTCGTTGACTGCACTACAGTCAGGATCAGGTTTTAGATTCACATTGATAAAGAGATTTTGGTGCTTTAAGTGCTGTCTTTGAAAACCTGGCAGAGGGATTAGGAATAATTGTAGCCACATTTTAAAAATGGGAATTTCATTAATTTGTATCCCTCCACAAATCTCTGTATTTACAAAGCATTGGACATTGAGCAGCTCTCACTAAATGGGGTGGGAAGTTGCTGGGCGTCCAGTGTTTTTGAAAGCTGGGTCACTCTTAATGGCCTTGCCAAAATCTCACAGAAGCTAATGGAGATTTCCTTAATTTGGCTGGAGTCTGGATCAAAGCAAAAGGCATATTTTTAATATGGTTCTACTACCAGAGAGAGGAAGTACTGCTTGAAAAGAAAATAGTTGGGTTTTGGATAGTCCATAGCATAGACCAGATAGTTAACTTTTAGGTTCCTTGAGAACAAAAGCCAGGAGCTCCACGTGAGGCACAGAGAAAAATTGTGCTGCTTTTCTGTCTCCAGTTTAGAAATATAGCCTCTGTTACCAAATCAGTTTTGTATGACCTTGTCTTACTCATGGTGAGTTGGAGTATGTCCAAGCATTGATTAGTTTGGCCAGTTGCTGAATAATGGAGACTATTTGTGGTCATATGATTCTCAGCAATTGGATTGTTTGCCCTCAGTGTGAATGTAATACAGGAAACAGTACTGTGCTCCAAATTTCTCATGGTTACAGACTCTAAGAGCTTGCAAATCGAGCTACAGGTGTTTGTTATTCACACAGAGCTCCTTGTTCTACTAGATGATTTTAGGAGCATAAAATTCATGCCATGAAATTATATTTGAATATTTATAAATTACTTCCTTTTTGTATTTACCTGTGTTACACAGTATCTATAGCTGTATTTTCAACCCCTTTTTGAGAAAAAACTGGTTACTTAAATCTTCAATGAAAGAGGACTGAGCAAGCTGCAGGTATCAGTACTTACACAGCCATTTTGATACAACATAAACATACAATGATGGCTTTTTGCCTCTTATACACTGTTGTAAATTGTTGAATTAAATAATTAATTTATGGAAATTAAGCAGTATAAGTAGAAAAACAGAGGTGCAGTTTCAATAACAACCGCTGATGCACAATTTGACATTTCCTTTTATCTCTTTCTATCATTACTTTCACACATTCAGGTTGGCACTTGCTGTAACATAAACTACTGTGAAGTTTGGCTTTGCAATGTGCATTTAACATTTTAAGTCTCCTCCAGTAAGAAAAATCCATGTGGGAGCATCCCAGTCCCTTAAATGTGAGATAAATTTGTACATAGCTCCATATTTCATGTCTGCATTTCACATAGACAGAATGGTAGTTTTCCAGTGGATTTACAATTAAATGGTAAAATTAAAATGCTGTCTACCAGGTCTTGCAATTTAGTACCTTAAAAAAAGGTAGCAGTTCCACATAGTGGAACTACAGTGTACTAAAAGGCTGGAAGCAAAAGCTATTGAGCCTCTTCTTTAGTCATTTGTTAGGGGTTAAGGTTATAAAGGAGATCCACATCTTGACTTAACTCACTTGAGTAATTTCTGTTTGAAGTCTCACAGCAACTGTTACAAATTCAGGGCAACATTACAGTTTGGTGTCTGTCCCCAGGGTATTTATGGCTGAGTTCCAATTTAGAGGGTGCTTCACCATGTCCCATCTCCTTTTCCATGAGCTCAGAGCTGTTCAGGGACAGTGTTGCCCAAACACCCAATTCCAGTTGAGAGATCAGCAATTTGAACTGGGAACTGCTGCTGTTGCTGTATCCTTGTGGCTCACTGTGGGACCCAGTGGCTGAGGAGATGAAGTTCTCTGGCTCTTCATTGGGATAGAACACCCAAAAGCATGACACTAACAATAGTTTTTAAAAGCAACTGTTCTGGCTGTGAATTTGAAATAGACTGTTGGGTGCTTTTGCCACCTGCACAGGATTGAAGACTCTTGGCGATTGTCTCCCTGTGAACTGAGCTGGGCTGGATCTAAAATAATCTGTTCTTTTGCTCTGCACTTTGAAAACTCATTTGGTGATAAATGTTCAGTCTCTGTAAACTGTAACATTTATTTTAAAATAACATTTTTTATTAATTACAGTTGGCAAGTCTTACACTCCTGCTGATGGCAGGCTTGTTTGAACATGGATTTTCTTCTCTCAACCCATCTGTTCCTCCTACTTGATCTGTAGTTAAGTCATAATATTGAAATTATGACATCAGTCATTTCCATAGTAACAGACTGTGATGTAATTGTATAAGGTAAAACTGCTTTGTGACATCAATATCTGCAATAATAAAAAATCCCCCACAAACTACTGCCCTTTTGGTTTCCTTTGCTGCTGTTGTGGAAATGTGGTTTCTTCTTAAACAAAAAAAATAAATTGTGTGGCAGCTACAAAGATAAAATTGTATCACTTGAGTGTTTTTGTTTTTCTTTGAACAGCTTATACACTTGGTAAAAATGGTTCAAAGAAAACCCAAAATATTCCAGAGAACTCTTATTTCTGTTGCTGTTCTTTTCTGAATGAGTGAGAGGTGCTAGAAGCTTTGTTCCTTCACTTTTCAAATCTGTTGCAAAGCCCATGTCCCAGATACTCACAGTGCCATTATGTATTTTGGTGAGAGTGTTTCCTTAAGGCCTTCTGGCCAGATCCCAGTGCAAACAATGATATATTGCTGTTCTAATGGCAATCTAGAAACATCACTGTACAGAATAGAAACTAAAGACAAAGTTGTATATTGCTGGTGTGTGATGGATGAAACAAGCCCTGGGTGAAGCTGTCTCCTGTAACTCTTTTGGGAAAGTAAATCTGTCTTGTGTGAGTAATCCATTGTCTTTTTTTTTTTTTTTTAATATCACTATGAATTAACCTCCTCCTTAAATGTCCTTCCATGTTAGGTTGTCTGTTGAGAGGGTTAATGATATCAAAAGTAACTTTTCTGTTTCCATTTAAAGATTACTGGAGAGGCTTTCATTATTTCATGGGGAAAGAGTTGGTTTTGTTTTGGTTTTTAATGCATGAAATCTCAAATGAATGTAAGAAGGACAATGCTGTGTATCACCTTAAGCTGCATGTGTCAAACAGGAGTTCTGTTTCTCAAATGGGTGAATTACACAATAGATTATTTGTTTTTTTCCTTGAAAGTGGGAGATCACAAAGTACCTGTCCTTATACTATAAGATATTTTATTCCTGCTACAGTGCTGACTCTGACTTACATGTGTTCTGCAGGACCATATTTGATAAAAAGAAACTTCTGGAATTTGCTAAGCTTGGATGTTACCTAGAGTACGACCTGTTTGGTACAGAGTTCCTTCACTACCAGTTCCATCCAGATATTGACATGCCCAGCGACAATGAGAGAATTGCAAGGTATCTGCTCCCATGCAGCTTTAGCTATAGCATGCCCATTGATAAAAAATATTATTGATAAAAAAATACTTGTTTTAAGACCATCACAGAGTGATTCTGCTTGTTGTTCAAAACTGTCTTCTGTCATGCTGAAATAATGCCATTTTCCCCTGCTGCTGTCACACAGTTAGAGCAGCATGTATCATTTCTTCTTTCTGAGAGGAAGATGCAGAGTCACAGTGTTGTAGGAAGTTACTTGAGAAGATTAAGAGCTTTTTAAACTTCGTTCTCTTTCCTAATTCCATGCTGATCTGGTCGAATTTATACAGTGTGTAAAAAGGAGAAGGCTGACAATACTGCATTTATGTTAGGATTAAGTATTTCTGTTTGAAACATAGTATTGGAAACTTAGTGCTGCTACTAAACATCATCTGAGCCTGTTTTATCTCCTCACTGGTTTGCTAACCCAGCAAAACTCACTGGTTGTTTTGGATGGATTTGTGCTTCCATCCTGGAAAACTGCCTTTTTTCTTTCAAGCACTTTATCACCTTTCCTCCCACCGTCCTTTTGCCCTTTCTCTGTTTTGAAGGATGTGATTCCTGTCTCTTCAGAGCTTCCATTCTCCTCACACTCACTCACAATGTGAAAATATTGGTCCCACTGGCAGGGTACCTCTTCCCTGCTTCTCATCAGCACCTGCAGTCTCAGCTCAGCTGCACGGCCAATCTGTTGTGCTGTGCTAACACAAAGTTTTGCCAAGGAGATACATTCTGTACAGAAACTGTCTGAGAGAAGGTAGGATCAGCTGGGAACGGACACCTCACTCCTTCCACTCCATCTGGAGGTGTGATGCTGCCATGCTGTTTGTCCACAGTGTGTGTGAGCAGTGAAGTGGCAGGTGCCTGAGGGGTGGGTTGCCATCCTGCCTGTGTCTTTTTACCTTCCAGAGTCACAAACAGTTCTTTCACTCTCCTTGATGAGAAAGATTTTATGAGCTTTCCCTTACATCTCAGACATAGTTTCCCTCCTCCTCATTGTCAGATTAATCTTGAAACTAATCTGTTTTCAAACTGTTCTCTCCTAAGAAGGTGCTGTGGCTATTCTTCCACCCTCCCAAGCATTTGCTGCTGCTTTTCACACTAGAAATTGTTTCTCTCTTAGCAATGCTCTCAGTCTTGCACTCAGTATTTTAAACTGTTGCAAGGAATTCACAGTTTTCCCATTTAGAATGAGTAAAGCTGCTTTCTCTGCTGTGCCTCCTGCCCTCTCCTGTGCCATGGAAAGTCAGCATCTCTGGAAGCACTGGGGAATATTTAGAGAGGACTGGACTAGGCCTTGGTTAACAAGTGCATGTTCAACTGTGGCAGAGTTTTCATTCCATCCATGATGCTTGCTCAGCCACCCTCATCTCTCCTGAAACTCTCTAGTGTCTGAGTATTTCTTGCAGCAGGCTGTTCAAAGGAAGAAAAGATGAAAGGTTTGTCTTCTCATTGCACAGTGTGAGTGTGTGTATTTGTGTTATATCAGTGGACTAAGGATGGCTGGGGCAATCTCTTTAGGATTTTGTTTTGTGAAACAGCACCACAGAAGTAGAAACCAAATTGACCTCTAAATGAAAATACTGAATAGAAAATACTTGTTCACATCTTTTTTGCTTAAAACACAAACTTCTGTAGTCATAACATACCTACTTAACTCATTTTAGCTGTCTGTGTACTTCAGCATTTAGGCTGCAGTCTGCTGCCAATGCAAGCAAAACACTGACTTGTGTTCTGGAGCAATTTGGAGTCAGAAAGTAATAACTATATATAAAGGAATGAGCAAAAAGGAGCAATGGATACAGAATGGAAAGGATCATATGCCTTCCCAACCCATGAAATGAGTCCCATATTAAAGGAGGTGATTCTAATAATATGTTTGGTCAGCAAAAACTTAGTCCCTCTAGTGCCATTACTTTTACGTTCTGGTTGGCATGTGGTTTTTCTGTATTTCAGACTGGAGGAGATTCTTGTGATGTTGTAAGACTATGGTTTGTGCCACACAGTGCACAATACTACACAATGTATGATGGGTTTTTGAAAAACAATACGTTTTACCAAATTCTGTCCTTTTTGCCTTCTTTCCACTGCCCATGCTGATTAGGTGCTGCTGCATGTAAATACCTGTAATAAAACCTGTCAGTAAGAGCTTTCAGATACTGTGTGGGTACTTGTAAGGCTAGGTTTTGTTTTCTTGCTGATCACAGCATTGTCAGGAAGGTAAGGATTAGGATTTCAGAGTGCTGGCAAGTGATGGAATTGGAGGCCTTCCTGAGGAATGAGCACTTTCCAGGGCTGGTTTGTCAGTCCCTGCCACTTCAGTGCTGTAATCCTCTGCCAAAATAAATGGAAGCTTACTGAGAAACTTGACAGTCATGCAGTACAGGAGTATAGACATCCACATAACACAAATGCTAAAGAATGAGCTGATCAAGGGAGTAAGGCTACCTGAATGAAATGTGAAAAAGAAGGACTTGGAGTAGTCCTGCTACAAGAGTGTGACCAGAAGGATTACTTCTTTTTCCAAGCTGACTTGTCATTTTGCCAAGGCTGTTTAGCTGCACTGCCATATTAATTAATGCCCCTTATTTCCTGGTATGTGCTGTGCCATGCCAGTCTTTGTCTTCTTTAAAGAACATCTTTGCAATGTGTTTTGATGATAACTGTCTATATGGAGTATGATACTGGCAACTTCAACTTTTTATTAACCTGCTTTGCTAAATGGGATTCAACCAAAGATCTGAAAGTATTAATGTTATTGAGCCAGGCTCCTTTACAGACCTGTCACGCACAGAGTCTGGTCATTAGCAAATGTAACGGGACCAGCCTTGTGACAGCAGCAAAAAGTAACCTGCTGAGAAGGAATTTATGTAGGAAATTTATATAAAACCTGTGTCCCATGCATGGTGATGCTGAAGTTCTTGAATTCCTCTGTGGAATTAATGGGTCTGGAAATGCAAAGTCATGTGCCAAAAGCAAAGATATACTTCTCCATTTCGATATAAATGGTGGTGTGTTTTCAGAGGTGGGATATTTTTCATGCAATAAAAAATGTATTTTATTTTCAGATAAATGTAAGGAGTAAATGCTCTGAGCACCTAAGTATTTGGTGTTATAATACAGTCCAGCAGTACAGTAATGTAAGAAATGGAAATGCTGTTACATGAGAACTTCCACTGACAGGGATTCTTCCAACTTTTTGTAGGATTCGTATGCTGATTGAAGAAGGCTATGAAGACAGAATTCTGATGGCTCATGATCTGCACACCAAGAACAGGCTGATGAAATATGGAGGTCATGGATATTCACATATCCTAAAAAATATAGTTCCTAAAATGCTAATTAGAGGCATATCCCAAGATAAAATTGATAAAATACTCCTAGCAAATCCCAAGCGGTGGTTGACTTTTAAGTAGGAACAATGAATAAATATGCCTGATTTATAAGGAAGCTTAATAAAATTCAGATTTCAGTAGAACAGTCATTTAAAAAAAATTTCTGAAAAACTCAATGCAAACAAACTAATTGTAACTTTTCTTTTTAATTAGAGCATTAAAACTGTATATGGTCTCTACATTTTCTCCCTTCTAAAAGTTTGCTCATGAATGATTTACTGAATATGAGCCTACCTACAGAATCTTTTCAACTGAAATTTTAAAATAATTGTTTCAAAAGCATAATCTAATACTGTTACTGATTGTTATCTTCAAACTACTTCTGAAGATGTGTCACCTGGAAGGAAATTTCCTTGGAAGGAATTTATGGTTTTCAGTTAAATTTCCTGTCTTCAGGGGCTGATTTTAATCCTTGTAATACTGTCAATCTTCTCATTATCCTCATATTCTTTGAGTAATACTTGATTGAAAGGTCTGGAAGTTCTAATTAGCTTCCATTGACAAGAGAAGGCAAGAGGAATCTCAAATCAAAAAAAGATAAGATTTCTTTCTAGTTTAACAATTTACTTAATTGTAAGTGAAAATGTAGAAAATACATTGAAAAATATATTTTTGAATAAAGCATTTTGATCACCTCTTAAAGTATGTGCGGTATTATTACAGATGTCTTTTTCTAATTGCATTAATTTTTTATCACGAACTTGGAGTCTCACAGCAATCATGTAAAACTTGACACACACCAGCTTCTTTTTGTAAGGATGCAACACCAGCACTCAAAATATATTACATAATACAGTTTTAATGAGTTGTATTAGTTATAACAAAGGTTGTGATATAAGTCTTTACAAATCAGTATATCAAGATATGATGAAAAAGGAAGAAATGTTTGCCTTATATGTGGTTTTCACATAAAGTGTGTTCTTTGCTCTTGTCTAACTTTAACCAGGGCAGGTGATTTATCCAAAAAATGGTGTTATCCAATAGCAGTGGTAGCCTGATTTCAGAAGCTTCTTCAAATTTGACCATGTATGTCTCGTAGTATTGAGCTTTACCAATACACAGCGTGGTGAATGCACACTGCAGGTTGTGAATGATCCCTAGCTCTAGGTGCAGGACTGCTGGACACCACTCAGGGAATCTCTAGCTACACTGCTGTGGGAGTGCAGGGCCAGCAACAGCAACGGTGGAGGAGCAGACAAGTCAGGGACACATCAGGTACTGAAATAATCGCCTCGTAGAAATGAAACAGGAGTAACCACTACAATGCACAGACATGAGCTGGCACTTTGTCATAAGGTAGAAGCATTGCCCATCTGGTGAGATAATACACAAGCAGCTGGCAGCACCATGTCCCCTTGTAAACCCTGGATGAGTTTGCCTGGCGATCCTCTCCGCAGCCTGGGCTCGCTCGGCGTTTGTTTTGAATCGAACGACTCAAAGCAGAAGGAGGAACACGTTCTGTTTGAGAAAAGGTTCACTCATTCAAACGAGATTTTTAGGGCAATGTGTAAAATCCCTATCAGACTTTTGCTGAGTAGCCAGCACTGGAGAGCTTTTTTTGTCAGAGTGGCAGACACTTTGGAAATTTTAGTGCAGATAAATCTAAGTTTGTACCCTTATTACATTAGACAAGGTTGCTTGTGACAGAATATATGAAATAGCAGTGCTAGGGGTAGCCTCTGTTACTCTTTAATGATTTACAGAAATGTTACGTTGATTTTGCCAAAAGGTAAAAATAAATAACATAACAAACTGTGCTAAAGAAATTTAATAATCTTGCTGAAATTTAGGTTTAGAATGAAATCTGAAAGTTTTAACCTAAGAGAAATAGACTTCCAAAATCAAAGCAAATAATAAATCCATTTTCTGAATAAAAAAAGATCTGTGGACATTACTGCTATGACTGATTTTAAAGCATTTTTATAACTATGTATCTCTGTTTAGTTTATTCTCCAAGCCATTAATCCTCTATATGGATTAAGCTTCTTTGAGACTTTATATATCTATATCTATATCTATATGAATGAGAAAAATAGGTTTTATAACACACCTTTTTTTTGCATGTAAATATCTGCTTCTTTCTTTGCATATGTGTTATCATTTTTGGTAAAATGCTTCTCTGTGTCCATCTCGTAGGCACACCTTACACAAACTGGTACTAGCTTCCATGGAAAAGGTCTGTGTGACAGCATTTTCTCATGTGTCAGATCTCCCACTCTTCCTTTGTTGGAAAAACCCCACTGACTTCAGTGAGACAAGACACCTAAGACAATAAAGGTCATCTTTATTCCTATGAAATTCTAGTGGAACATCTGCAGTATATTAATCCATAACTACTTTATTAAAAATAGAACCCAGGTACAGACTAAGTGCTAAAAGACTAATGAAGACTAATTGCTGCAAAGAAAACACTCCGCCTCTTAGTCTGATGGTATGGATGCCAGGCTTTCTAAATATTTACACAACTAACCATCAACAATGGGCCTATAATAATTGTCTAAATATATATTTACATGTATACAAATTAAAATCCCTTTTCCACTAATAGCAGTTAGCCATTTGCTTTGGTGGAATCAGGGATATGGTCCAATAGAATAGCTTGTCAACTGTTATATTCTAAAGGGGAAAATTGTGTTTCTTCTGTCATTTTCTTTTAGAGGACAACTAAGGGAAAGACAAAATTTAAATAACTCCACTGGATTGATTTTTATGTTAAAAATCTAATGTAAACTTATAAAACAGAAACATTTGAGTTAAGGCTTAAAGCTGATTAGTTTCTAGTTTTAAGTGGAAGGGTAAGAAAAGTACAAGGCAAACAATTTCTTTGCAGAGAGAAAGTATATTTTGATTACCTCTTCCTTTTATTGTAAAATCATTCCTCACCACACTATGAGTGGACTCCAAGCATCATTGTTAGCAGGTAAGTCACAAGAACCAAAGCTGAAGTATGGATAAAGCAGCAAGATCATAACACATCAAAGTATCATATACACTGAAGAAATAACTCAGTGTCCTTAGGTGGGCTTTCCTTGCCTATAAAAATCTGATCTATGCAGAACTTCATTCACATGGACACGTAACAATGAGGAAGTATTTGCTTTGGCGGAAGTGGATCGCACATCTGCTTAACTTGGTTTGTGGTTTTTAACATAAGGTTTCTCTGTGTTGTACAGATGTGAATCAGGTAGCATTCAACATTTCCCCCCACTGCTGAGGTGTTCAGTGGTCACTCTCTGCTGGGGTGCTTGTTTCATTGACTTTTGCCACACAATCCATCGCTTAGAAGAGCAGGCTTCGTTTCTCAACTGGTTTGGTGGGTCTTTTTACTCATTATCAGTCAGCATAAATAATAAATCCAGAAAATGTGCTGTATTTGTTGTTGTTTCCTCCATGTGCTTTTCCTCCATCTAATTTGATGTACACTTCATCTCCTGGCTCCAGGTGAAGGACCACGCTGTTACTGGCGTAGTCGTAGTTCTGATCAGCATCCTGAGCGATCGCACTAGCTCGAACCTACATGAAATACAGAACCACTGGTTAAGAAAACTCAGGTAATTTTTCCTGCCTGCTGAAATTAAAGCATATCCTCGAAGTTTCATTCAACATGCATGAGTTGCCACTTTAAACATCTGGCAACGTATATTGTAGTTTATCCCTATAGCACTTGCTTATTTTCTCCTGCTGTACTTCTGAAACTAAAGCAATAATATTCTCTTTTCTTGGTCATCTGATGAATACACAAATGCCTGATCTTCTGTAGATGTCTGGAGCCTTCTTATAAATATGTGTAAGAATAGCTGGAGTTGGGAGAACTGGATCTGATCGTGTGCCAGTTTTACATTTGGTGTAACTTTTGTATCAGTGGAACAAGTGATTGACAATGTTGAGGATCCACAGGGAGGCCCACAGGGAGTCCCCAAGATGGACTTTTTCCAGAGGCAGTTTATTGTCATACTAAGCAATAGGATCATGCTGCAAAAAAGAATACAAGAAGTACACCCCCCATACACATGCACACAAGCAATCTGGGTTTGGAAAAACTGCTATGACCACAGTTCAGTAAGTAAACATTTAATTTCACTGTGTTTTAAGAGATGCACTTTTGAAAAATCACAGGCAAGTCACTATTTGCTGTAAGAGTTTTTGAAATTTACAAGTCATTGAGGGCATTTCATTTGCAACTTTCCCTTAAACATAGTTTTTTTCCCATTTCTCCCTTGGTATTCCACTACTGATTAAATTTGACATTTCTTGCAAACTGAAAATAATCTGTAATTTCAAGATATATGTTGGTTTTCAGCAATGAACGGCCTGTGCCATTGTAAGTCTCCAAATCATTTATGTATAATTTGACTCTGTTTGGTAAAATATTTAAACATGGTTGTATCTGATTTATTTCAGTGTAACACGTCATCTCCTTGTTGCTTGTCTTTGTTCTAGCGTAGTTACAGAGCAGTAAATGATTTAGTGGCATTGCAAATCTGAACTAAGTAATAATGCATGACTTGGCCTACTATATGTGGGATTTTTTCTGCTCTGAACTGAAAAAAATAGGCTATAAGTCACAATTTTTCATGGATTCCTTTCAAAGTTTACATGATAAATTTCCAAATTAAATTTTCATGTGATATGATTTCACATTAATATTGAAATGTTAAAAAGGAGGGGGTTCTTTTACCATGCAGGATCTTATGGCATTATGCAGCTTAAAAATCACAGTAGGTGGAAATTCTTTATGCATCCTGTAAGAACAGTGAGAAAGGCTGCAAAGGCTTGCAAAGCTGTGACAGGCTGCAAATTTAAACTGATACATGGCATGATGATAAACCCAGACTATTTCAGGACTTCTTGGTCCTGACTTGCCTGGTATTGTTTACAGAGGTGATCTCTTTTGCTAATTTTCTAAGCAATAATTATTCTAAGTGCTGGGTGTTTCCTTTGGAATTGTGACTGGCAGGGCAGAGTTGAAGGCTCTGGACCATTAACCCTGGAAAGATCTTCCAGAGAAAATAATGGACTGAGGTGGTTGCTGGCAGTGGAAATGGAAAGAGCAGGTGGGGAGGAGTGAAAAGGCCACAGACAAGGTAGAAGAACTTTCACATGGAACTAGGATCTTGCATAATGGTGAGAAAAGTGGTTTAAAGGACTTTTCAAATTCCTGTTTACTTCCTAATGAAATGCTGCTTTGTGGATTTGTATAAAATCTTGTGGATGGTAGGGGAGAATTTGAATTACATCAGTGACAATCCTAAGGAAGTCAGCAGTCAGCATGGGGACACTGGCTACAACAGCAATGGATATTTCATTTTTAAGATTCTACACAATACATACTGGCTGGAAAAAAGAAAAAGATTCTGGAAACTGAAAGTCTAGAAACAAAAATGCAGATGTTACTGCCCTGTGTGTAGCAGCAAAGGTCCTGTATGCTATTCCTAGTGGCTTTACCTTCTTGCTTGGTTAGCCAGAACAATTTCTTTTTAAAGCCTAGGAGAACAGTCTCAAATAAATTCTCCTCAAATGAATGGAGTGTACTGCTGCAAGAGGGCAAATGCATCTCAAAATTAAAGCATTATGAGACAATACGTTTCACAAGTTCCATGTAAGTCCTTCCATGAAGCTATGCTCTCAGCCTGCACACACATCCCTAAGCTGTGTCACCTCAGCACTTCCCTGTTCAAGCTTGATAATCATTAAAGCAGACAATGTGGTAACACTGGGGACCTTGAGGTTTCACATATCTATTGCTTAGGAACGCTTTTTTTTTCTGTAAGTCATACAGTTTTCAGTGTTTCTGGGTTTTTCATTGTTAGAGAACATGGGATTTATAATGTTGCCTTTGTCACTCCATTTAACTACTTCCAAAATTTCTGAGCTTCCTTACAAATATTCATAAAGCCTGTCACATCAGCATTTAGTATTTTAAGTATAAATCTTAATCACTCATTGAGGCATTAAAACTGTGGGTCAATTTTAAACCATTGATGTGCAGGTATTTCCCTGAATATCTCATATAGTACATACGAATGTACACATAGAACCTCTCTTTAGGTGGGTTTTTTCTTTCTTCTTTGAATAACTCTGAGTTTGCCTCATGTCTGGCACTGGAAGTACCTATATTTGGAAATGGTTAGACCTCAGGTTCAATTGAATATTTGTAATTGGATGCTTCTTTAAAACTACTGCTATGTACTTATTTTTCAGTGTTCAGGAAAGTAAACACTCTATAAATATGGGTAAAAATAGATCAATTCTTTAATTGTAAGTAAAATTGTATTTCTGCAGTGAAGAATATTGCTTTTGTAAGAAGATATCAAAGTGAATATTATTAGGATGTACTTAGTTTTACTAGTCCTGGTTTATCTGTGGAGACAGTATTTATGGCAGATATTTTCTAATTTAATTAATTGCCACTGATGTCCTCATTATTCCGTTTTCACAGTCCTTCTGAGGAGCCATAAAGAAAAGGTTAAATGGCATATCAGATTAATTTACCGGCGGCCGCGGCTCCCGTGTGCGCTG